CGGGTCACACGGTACGCACCGAGGCCCGGCCCCGCTTGGTAGTGGAACAATCGCATTTTTCATTTCCTTCCAATTCATTTGTCCCAAAAAAACAAAAAAACTCGCCGACGCTTCATTTAACGACACCACTGTGCGCGTGCAACACTTTCGTCGATCCACTGCTAGTTGAAGGCCTCCCCCCCACACCGGTTGTCGGTCAGCGGTGTTGTTCGACCGTATTCCACCACGCTGGACGGCGTGGGATTGAATGAAAAGCGGGGAGCATTGAAAGGTGCGGTACACCATTGTCTTTCTCTGCACCGCTCGATCAGAATCAGAATATTTGTTTATTACTGGGAGGAATCCGATGGGCTATAAAGCTCTTTTTTCACAGATGTCCATTAGTTCACAGATCTCCAGTCGACATCTGTCAACTATAATACGACCCACAACGTAGCCCCACAACCTCAAACGCCTGTTATGCACGGCGGTCGTCAATCCCATCAACATCCAACGACGGAGCCGTTGGGTGGCCGGTCACAGCGCACTTCGTGTTCCTCCCACACGAAGCAAAACACTCATTCGTGGGATTGGCCAAACATGTCCAATGCAATAGAGCCGTCCCTGAAAAAGGCCATTGCTCAGAACGTCGCTAATTATATAGAGCTGTGTTCAATTTTAAGCAGTGTTATTGACGAGTGTGTACAGCGTCCCGTGATTGTGTGTCCTCCTAAAAATGGAAGTCTTGAGATCCGAAGAGGATTTGCTGGGTTAAAACGTAATTTACTTTTCGGGTGTTTTGTTAAACTGCTCACTCAGTAAGGTCACCTACGGGCAAATGACAGACTATACGGCCGCAGCTCAAAACTCCGAGAAACCTTTTTGATTCTAAACTAAACGATTTTTAAATGTTGACTTAAAACTTTCGTGACTGCAGGAATTCATATTCTATGGTTATTTCGGTAAAGTCACGTGGATAGAAAAAATAACAATAAAAATAAAGTGACTAAAATATATATCACGACGTTTCGAGCGCAACACAAGCGGACGTGACTTTACCGAAAGAACCATAGAATACAAACGATATCTGTTTTTGTATTTTAGCAGGTAAGGCCCACTGAGCTACGTAGCTCGTTTTAAAAAGCGACCTGGCCACACATGATAGCTCAACGAAGTGGCTTACGTGGAAATGTATAGCGGCCAAACGCTCTAAACGCAAAGTTTTTCAATGTGGAGGGGAAAAACCGGAGGACCCGGAGAAAAATCCACACGAACAAACTCCAAATATGCAGGCGTCATGGTTGGGATCGAACCCATGACCTCCTGCAAATGCACCACAGCATGTAAGGCCGCTATTGTGCTGGCCTCAGCCCTCAAGTCACTCGGCTAAACTCTCTCTCGGCGAGCAGTATATATGCATGTTAAACTTCGTTGGCACCGCGATAATTGATAGTTGCAGGGGTGGGTGGGTGGGTGGGGGAGGGAAAGACAACAAAACGAAACAAAACCACACAACCGCAATGCGTTCGACTCCGGCTACAACCAAGTCGTGGGACGCGCCTTTCACTGTACAGGGCACACACCACATGCCCCCCGCGCCATCGCGCGCTCGTCGAGTGTCCATCAACCCGGGCGCTCTTCAAAAAAAGAAACTCGACAAGCCTGAATGCAGTTGAATGACACAACCGCATTTGAATCAAAATCACGGGAGGCCTTCAAGCGTTGCACCCTTTCTGAGCGACCGAAACGATGAACGGTGACCTCGTTACACCCGGGAGCGCGGACCCCCCCCCTCCCCCCCACGTGCTCAGGACACCAGCCTTGCGCAATGTAGGGGCCCCTTTTTGAAACAAAACAAAAAAAACCAATCACATTCATTGCCGGATGAAGGCCTCCCTGCCTCCCACGCCCGGCGTGCGTGCCCAGGATCGGTTCCGACTATCACAACTCGCCACTGATGGTCATAGCCGCGGGCCGATAATCGAACATCAACAATGGGGAATGCCTCGTGAGACGAGACGCGCCAACAACTGAGCCATCATTATGAGACCTCCTTTGCCAGAAACAAGATATAGGAATAGGTTTTACCCTTTTAACTGGCACAAAAAGCCATCGCTGCGCCGTGCTCCCGAGAGGCCCTCGTGCAGGAGACCGCGTGCGAACTGTCGATTGGCGCTTCGTGCACGGGGTGAAAAAAATACTTTTGTTTTGTACGTGAATTGCAGCCTCTAACCGCGCACAAACACATCCATTTGCTACCATTATAATGTGTACAATTATACAACAATGGTTGTAGATGTATATAGGGTCATGATAGCAGACGTACCACAGGTTTACATCGGAACAGGAGTTATATAACTCGCGGTCACATTAAATGCAGTATTGCAACGTAAGTTTACGACTATACAAATATAAAACTAATCACATGTGATTATAGATTACTTGCATGTTGCATATACGGTATATGTTTAATAAACCCCGTAGGCTTGCTTAACAGACAAAAAATGCAAGCGACAAGTGGGAATGTTCACTGATAAAAGGCTGAACACATATGCATTAACAATCACAGATGATACACACACGCGGACAAACGCCCCGAGCAACGTACAAATATTGACACGCACAGATGCAATGCAGATGAAAAGACACCACTAGGGCATGCACACACACACACACCACGTACAACAACAATCACACAAGCAACACAGTACCAGACACGCACACACGAGATGCAAAGCAGACGCGCACACACACAGGAGAACGTTTATTTTGCATACAGCCACACAAAACAATCACAGCCACACAGACACGCAACTTGTTTTACAGACAGATGCACGCAGACTCAAAGTTGCACACACACGCACGAGAGACGAAGATCTCCCGGAGAGCACTTTAACAGGCAAGTGCTGTGAGCAAGCAACCTATGAAGGCCGGAACGGCACACGAGGGGGTGGGTGGACAACAACACACACGGCCGCCTTGGTCTCCCCAGTGGTGATGTTTAGTACACACCACACCAGGTACTCATTTGAGGCCGAGTTGACCTAGGGGAGGCCCAGGACAGCTTCAGATAATCGTCACCACTGGTGTTGAACTCGGCTCGCCGGGTTCGTACTGCGGCGTGCCAAAACCACTGCACTGTCGCTCCTCACCGCGCAAAGACAAAGATCCCCCGTATTGCCTTGACAGACTGTTGGGGCAAGTGCTGTTAGCGAGCACCTATGAAGGCACGCACAACTAGTTATACGCAGATGCACACACTCACAAAGTCGCACGCACACCCCACACGCTCGGCAGCCTTCACACATTTACAAACAACGCGCGCGCCGAGAACTCAGATTCAGTTACACACACAGTCACGCGATTCCATCGTTCGTGCCGTGTTGGCAAAGCCGAGAGGCAAGTTCCTGGAAAGTCCGGTTGGTCGTGAGCATCGCAACACGCGCGGCGCACGGACAGCCTCCCGCGCCTCCCCCAACAAAAAAGAAACCCACCCCCTCCATCAATCAGGCAGAGCGTGCGAAAAGTGCGCGCGCTCGCCACACGCTCGCACGCGAGCCCAGCAGTCCGCCCCTCCCTCCCTCCCTCCACCACCCCTCCCACCTCTAACAACGCTCCCTGCCGTCTCTGCATTGCCTCTTCCCCCGATTCCTCCTCTCATACCCCCCCCCACTCACTTCCACCCCCCCCCACCCCAACTCAAGCCAGCAGCCCACGTGGAGGCGCCCTACAAAGGCACAGGTGCAGGGTGGCGCAGGGTGCCAGCGAAGTGAGGATGGAGGAGACATGAGCGGAATGACCCAGCTGTGCCAGGGCACAGAAGCTCGAGTTGGCAAGCTCCGGATAACAAGACGGTGGTATCGGGGATGGCTGGTAGATCGATCGTGGGTGTCTACTGATCGATGATGGTGAGGCAGTGAAGATGGTGACCGATGCAGATGGATGGATGGGAGCTAATTGATGAAATGGATCAGGTGGATTAGCAATTAGATAGTATGGACAGATCATGGATTGAGATGATGATCGTAGTTGTTGAGTGGATGACAAAGATTGAGATAAATGGGACTATGATGATGATGATGGTGCTGATGACTGGTGGTCAGAGTTGACCGATGACGAATAATTCAACGACACGACAACATTGAAAGTATACTGCTATCGTAATAACTTGATTTCCGTGGCGACCACTACAACGAGAATGCGGGCTACAAGAACAGCTCCCTTGAAACGCCTCAAAAGTTTTGGCTGCTCTGCATTGCAGCTGTTTAGCGCATCACGCCAAGGTCTGGAATATATATGTTATAGCGTACGTAATTTACGCATAGCGAGATTATGTAGATATACTGAACACTTTGTTTACAAAAAAAATAACTTACGCAAACAATCAACATCAGTCACTGTACAGACGCGGCCAATTCCGTCAACTGACACGAACACACACACACAGCACGCTACTGGACACAAGTCAGTCAGTGAAGTCACCACGGCGCGTGTGCCAGGCCATGTGCACTTTGAGGCCACGTGAAGTGTCGAAGGCTCCCTGACAGCAGCAGGTCACGGGACAGACCCGGCAGGTGCCATGGGTTGACTGAGATGACCACTGGTAGATGCACCACCAGCTGCGCTGCCTCCCCCCCCCCCCCTACGGTGCCAACTTGCTCCATTTTATCCCCCGGCGCTCCACTCGTTGGCGTGAGCGTCGCTCATCTGGCATCACGAGGTACATAGCCGCACACACAAAATACAAAGATCCCCCGTATAGCCTGTAACAGATTGAAGGGGCAAGTGCTGTTAGCGAGCACCTATGAAGGCCGGCACGGCACACGAGGGGGTGGGTAGCCAACATCACTCCCGGCCGCCTTTGTCTCCCTTGTGGCGATGTTTACGCACCGCACCAGGTACTCCTTCGAGGCTGAGTCGACCTAGGGGAGGCCCAGGACCGGTTCAGATAATCGTCACTGGGTGTTGCCCGTGAGCGGGAATCGAACCCGGGTAGCCAGGTTCGTAGCGCAGCGTAGCGCTAACCGCTACACTACCGCTCCCCTCTTACACACACACACGCGTACACACGCGCGCACACACGCGCGTCATGTCACAATTCCCACACCCATCGAATGGACCCGTGACTATTCTAGAAGCGACCTCATGGTCTCGTTCCGCACGCGCGTCGTCCCTTAAAGTTTCATCTGTCCTATTAATAATAATACAAACTTTCAATTTATATTGCGTCATTTCATGCCAACTTCATGCAACGATGCCATATCATTCGATTCCTACGCTCACGATTCCATTGAATCGAATATGTAGAAATCGATTACGATGTATGCCAACTTGCATATACATTATATGCCAATGCGTTGCTACGCTAGGGATAATGAAGCAAGCCAAACTGCAAACATGGAGTTATAAACGCAGACGGAATTCCTGGACAAACCACACATATACAGTATATATATGTGCGTGTTCTTGAAACGATTCGCTAACTTAACCGGCGAAATCGAATCGCGGGGAAGAGGCGGGGATGAATCGTTGCCCACGGGCTCAGCGCACTTGGGACTAAGTCCGTGCTCACAGACTACAGCGCTCCACGCGTCTGGCTCGGCATCATGCCCCACGTGCTTCTCCACCGCAATGGGAGCTCCATCTGTTAGGACCCAATTCAGCAGCTCCACCCCCCTCCTCCTCCATACCAACAGCAAGCATCATCACCAGCAGCTGCATCAGCCGGCAGCGCTATGCAATCAATGGGAGAAAAGTAAGCTGCCCGATTCAGTTCCTGGAGCGGAACGTCGGAACCGTCATTCCGAACGACACCGCACGACAAAAGCGACAACCCCGTGGGATGGAGAGAGAGAGCGAGAGAGCGAGCGAGAGAGAGAGCAAGAGAGAGCGAGCTAGAGAGAGAGAGATCGAGAGCGAGCGAGAGAGCGAGCGAGAGAGAGCGAGCGAGCTGTGACGGCACAGACAGGGACGGCAGCGCTTCGGAGCGCATCGGCTGCGGGGATTGCGCGCTACGACTGCCGGCGCGCGTCGGCGAAGCACTCCGCGAGCACGTGGTCTCTGACGCGCGCGCGGACGTCGAAGGGCATCGGCTTGAGCGTGAGGCCGTACGAGCTGTCCATGGTCAGCGTCTGCGCGGGGTCCGCCTCGAACGAGCACTGGTGCGCCAGGATGGCCGCGAATAGCAGCAGCTGCATCTTGGATATGTCGTCGCCGATGCAGCGGCGCTTGCCCACGGAGAAGATGAGCACGTTGCTCGCGAGGTCCTTGTCCACGCGGGTCCCGCTCTCGTCGAGAAACCGCGTCGGCTCGAACGTCTCCGGGTCGCGCCACCGCTCGGGGTCGTGGTTTGACGACCACTGGTTCACGAACACCACGGTGTCCTTGGGCACGCGGTAGCCCGCGATCACCGTGTCGGTCGTGGTGGAGTGCGGGATGGTGACGGGCACGAAGCTGCTGTAGCGCAGAGTCTCGAACACGAACGCCTCCGTGTAGGGCAGCGAGGCGCGGTCCTCGAGGCACGGCAGGCGGTGGCGGCCCGCCACGCGGTCCACCTCCTCCTGCACGCGGCGCTGCGCTCTCGGGAAGCGCACCAGGAACATGAGGAGCCACATGAGCGCGGTGGACAGCGTGTCCTGGCTGGCGCCGAAGATGTCGTTGACGGCCCCGGACACGTGCCGGCCGGAGAGCGCCTCGCCCGACCTGCTCCGCGGCCGCTCCACCTCAACGGCGGCGATGAGCGAGTCGGTGATGTCGCGCGGGACGCCGCCCGCCTTGAAGTCGGCCCGGTGCTGCTCCACTTTCCTCCGCGTGAACGCGTTGAACTCCATGTTGAGTGCCACGAAGTCGCGGTAGGCGGTGCGCACCGGGTTGGGGAAGTACAGCAGCCAGGGCATCACGTCCACCAGGCTGCCCGCGCCCACCGTGCGGCCGAACTTGTCGTTGCGGCTCACGATCTCCCGGAACTCGCTGTTGTCGTAGTCGTAGCGACGGCCGAAGCACAGCGCGCTCATCACGTTGGCGATGGCGAGGATGAAGAGGCGGCTCGGATTGAAATAGCGGCCGCCGTCGCTGCGCTCCAACATGATGCCCACCAGCGCGCCCGCCTCGGACACCACGTAGCGCTCCAGGTCAGCCCGCGCCTCCGCGTTCCCCGACGACGAGAAGTGGCGCAACGTGGACTGCGCCACGCACCTGTGCATCTTCCACAGGGAGCTGTAGCCTCCGAAGGCCATGCTGTTGCCGTCGGACACGACGCTGAAGCTGGGGAAGGCGGGACGCCCCGCGAAGTCGGCGCCCTGCTTGACGAGCGCCTGCCTGATGGCGGTGGCGCCGTTGAGCACCAGCACGGGCCGGCCGCCCAGCTTCATCATGAACACGTCCCCATAGCGCCGCGCCATACGGCACATGGCGAGGTGCGGGGCCGAGCCCAGCTGCAGGGCATTGCCCAAGATGGGCCACGGGAAGGGCCCCGGTGGCCCCCGCGAGCTCCGGGCGCGACGCAGCAGGAGCCAACGTCGCGCCTCGAGCGCGACGAGCAGCGCGACGAAGACGAGGAGGAAGGGCTGCGCGAAGCTCTTGCAGGGCGCGTCCCACAGGTCGCCGGTCACCTCTTCTCCGCTCAGATCCATGGCGGTGGTGATGTTGTTGTTGTTGTTGACGACGAGGGACGGTGATGACGAGGTGCGAGGCAACGGTTTTTGTTATTCACCCCCCGAGGTCTCCTCCCTCCCCCCCCCCCCCCCCGGGCCACGGTCAAGGATTGAGGACCTCGTATCAGACTCCGCCCGACCCCTGCGGCGCTCGACGCAATTCATTCATCGTGCTCACTTTTGAGCGCGGCGCAAACTCCGCACGTCCAAAGTTTGCGCGTCCGCACGCGAATTAGCCCGGTGGGGAGGGGATTTAAAAAAAAAATGAGAGAGAGACGTCCGTGTGTCTAGGATGCTCTGTTCTGGAAATCGCACGTTTTCCGCAAGTTAAGCGGAGCGCATTGCAATTAAAGTCGCTCGATTTGTCACCAGCACACGCCTCAACGTCACCGACTCGGCGAGAGAAGTTGACATTTGTTGCTGCGGCCGAGGTGGGAGGAGGGGGTCCCTGGCGGAGCTCTGCAGAGTCGTTGCCCGCCTCTCATCCTGAGTACCACGACAGTCATTCGTGCTCAACGGGTCCCCGGCAACTTCGCGGCGACGAAAACGGAGGAGAGAGAGAGAACACGCGTCCGTGTGCCAGGAGGAGCGCCGGTGTCGACGGGAGAGGGAGTGAACCCGTGTTTTTATACTCTTGGGCTGAGTGGTTGGTTGGTTGGTGGTGGTGTACGGAAGGGGCGGTGGGTGTGTGGAGGAGGGGGGAGAAGGGAGGCGGTGTGATCGTACAACCGATGTGAATGAGTTGCGGTTTGCACAAGTTGCGCTGAACGGCGGCGCCAATTGGTGGCTGGCAGGGGCGGGGGCCACGCCGTGCCCCCTGCGCCGCCGCCTCCTCCTCCTCGCGTGCGGACCTCAGATTATTTATCAGCGAAAAGTGCCGCTTCCTTCCTGCGCCACCACGACCTCAGTTCAGCCGCGATGCCCCCCCCACCCCCCCCCCCCCCAGAGTCCACGTGGGTGTGCGACTGGGTTAGGGCTGAACGATCTCTAATTGAGATTTTCTAACAGATATTTCGATTAAAAAAATTTCGGCCAAACTTCAGTTCAATATTCACTGTGTAATAGATTTAAACCACGTGATGGAGCATTACCACGTGATACCATCAAAATATGAACTGCTCTATTTATTCAAATGCAAGGATGAGAACTTAAAAGATATGAATTGCTTCCAAAATGTATTTATTCAAATGTTTAATTGAAATAGAACAAACATAGAACATCTTGTTTGGTTATTTCGGTAAAGTCACGTAGAATGATAATAAAATAATAAATTAATCAAATAACACAATAAAATTCTCACGACGTTTCGGCCACAACACAAGTGGCCTTCATAAGGTGAAGGGACGAGACTGTCTGGAGGACGTTTTCGATTTGAAACATAGAACAATTAAAGTTACATAAATAAAGTCAGAATAATAAAAACAATTCCAATAAGTAATCGGACTTTCACATCGCAGCCTTTGTGATTTGCTAATAGCATTGTTTCAAATTGCGTTTTCGATTTGAAATCGATCAATAAGTTCAGCCCTCGACTGGGTGCGAATGAGTGTCCGAGTGCCTGTGTTTGGTCACATGATGCGTGTGTGTCGGAGTAGATGCGTGCGTTTGTGTGCGTGTGTGTGCGCCTCCAAAAGCGCAGGACGCGACAGCGCATTGGCCGACGGAGCGCCGTGCCACATGTCCGGCGACTCGCGTTAGATTCCCGTGCTCACGGCGTTACACCACCGAGTGACGATGAACTGAACCAGTCGGTCGTGGGCGTCCCGCAGGTCAACTCCGCCACAAAAAAAGAGTACCTGGTGCAGTGTGGGAAAACGTCGCCACTAGGGAGATAAAAGGCGCCCGAGCGTAGTTCCTGGCCATCCATCCGATCGCGTCGGCATTCATCGGTGCTGCGCGCTAACAGCACTTGCCCCAGGTATCTGTTAAAGCAGCGCAGTGGTTAGCGCGCTGTGCTAGGAATTAACTCAGCCCGCCTGTGTTCGATTCCCGCACAGCGCCTGCAGGACCCAGTGATCGATCACAAGAGGGTCTATTAAAATTTTAGCTAAATTGTATTCACACGATGCATAGAATCGTGCATCACCGTATATAGGATGTGTGAAGAATGTGCCCAATAGCCAAGTATATTTAGTGCTACACATTGTTGAACTTCTTGCGCGTCTTACGTGGCCAACCGTGCTAATTGGAGATGCAGAGGCAGAACTAAACACAAAAAAACAGTTCTAAAGAAATTAGTTTTCAATTCTGGGATTTTAAAGTGCACAGCTCCAGTGGCTTCCTAACATCAGAAGAGCGCTCCAGACGGCCACAGAAGCGCATCTGAAGGCGCCACGCGATGACCGCCGTTTTTGTTCCACGGCAGTAGCCACAAGCCGCTGCGAGGATAACGATCGGAGTTGGCGTGCTGCTGGTTCATGCTCATTGATGAGGTCGCCAAGGTATTGGTGGTTCATTTGTGGCGAGCACTTTGTTGTGTAATGATCGCGACCTTATACAACAGCGGCCAAGCGTGTCGGGTAGTTGTGGGGAAAGAGGCAAAATCATTTATGTAATTTAATCCCCCTCCCAAACGCCCCACCATTCTCCTCTTCCATCCTGCCAGTTTAACGAATTGGACACAAAGCGATCATTGACATAGTAAATAGCGCCCCGAGTGGCCGTCGTGAAACCTGTAGCCACACGAGACGATCGAGTCTCATTTGGTACGAGTTAACAAAATCGAGTCATTGATACAACCTTCCCTCTCGCTGCTCGGTAACGAGAGATTTTTTTTAACTATACCCACGGCGGTTCGCACAGATCTTATAGCCTCCCAAGATGCGATACCCCCCGCCCCCCCCCCGCCCCCCCGCCATGAACTCAATTGGGCCAAATATCGCAACAAAGCAGGACACCCCTCGTGGGAAGTCCAGATCGACGGCGCTTTAAGAAAATTGCTACGATTGCTGTGCATAATTGCCAGGAATCTGGTTTTATTAAACAGCTGGCATAGTGCGGCGCTCACACACGTCGGATCATGCACTGGTGCAGAAAACAAAGGAGTAACAGTTGAACCATTGTACATCAACATTCAATTTAAAACCAAAGCCCAAGGCGTCGGATAACACAAGGCTTCGGATAAAACGAATACACACGGCCAAGGTTTCAGTGCAGTCGCGTTTCACGGGAACAAACGCAACCAGCGGTGGGGTTTCCCCTGCCCAAGCCTGCAGGGCAACAGCTACCGCCCGCCCAGTGCATTCATTTTGTACAAACCGCACATTGGGAGGTCCAACTTCAGAACCAAGACACCACCACCACCACCACCACATCACGGTTCTCGGTTGTTCGATACGATGCCCGACGCTTCACTCCACGTCCTTGGGAGCCGTTCCCGACATCTGTGGAAATAAGAGCTCACGTAGCTCAAGTGGGTTCGTTCATCGTCGGTCACATTGTCGATACTGAGCGCACAAATTTGTTGCGCTTTGGAGGGCCATTATCCCCAAAACTCATTTATTTAGGTCCCCCCGCCCGCCCCGCCCCGCTTTGCGCGATGTCGCGTATATGCGGCTAACCTACATCGACCCAAAATTCGCTATATGCGGTGTGAAGTTACTCATGCGACCGGACGTGGGACAACTGTGTGTACTGTATGCGCTACTCTGCAGGCAGCCGTATCGTCCACTCTGGATTGCTCGACTGTGCGGTCCAAGCTACGCGATGTCGCTTTGAGTCTTTTTTTGAAAAAGCATCCACCGCACAGAGGGTACACCTGTATTTCCCCCCCCCCCCTTTTAAAAAGCGGTTTCAGCGACCAATGTGGTAAATCCAATTATTTTGAGGTCAGTGTTATTGCCGAGTCTATGTGTTATTTGGGCACCAGTGCCAAATGTAGAAAATAACAACCTAGGAATTACACGATTGCATCTGTGCAGATTAAAATGCATTGAGATCTGCAATACGTTCGGTGGAGTTAAAACTCCTCGAACGCCAGACCTCGAGTCTGCTGGACACGCGAGTTCGCCGGAACGCCACTAAATAAAAAGGACTTGGGCAATCTTAGGATAAATTGACCGAAACATTCTTGGTAAGCTAATGAAGCGGTGCATGGCAGAAGACCATGCACACGCAATTGTAAAGCGCCACTTCATCCGCTGGATGCAATTCAGTGAACCCATTTGCCTTGGATGTCACGGGCACGCCAATAACTGCCCACTCCTTACGTGCAAGCTTACGTTTACAAATAAAAGCCAGGCCCTGCAAGTAAAACCTCTTCCGGGCGAGTATATTTCGTGAATATCAGCCTCCCACCACTTCATGGTCCGATTAAGCCAAAGTGGCAATCATTTTTACAATTAATTTATAAATGACCACCACATTATTTACGTGGCGAACAAAAGAAAATAGCACTGCAAACAAGCCTCTGCAGTGAGAAAGGCCTGCCAGGGAGGTGAGAACAGAATGGTAAAAGTTGCGCTGAACGTTGCGGACAGGGGCCAAACGCAGGCTTTAATCGCGGTCCTTTGTCAAGAGCTCCTAGCCATAGGACGGCGAAAGACTGGAATGAAGCCATTCAGAACATGCCAACCCCCCCTCCCCCCCCCCCCCCCCCCAAACTGGAAAGTCTTCGATTAGTCTGGGCCGAGAGGTTTTACTGTACCCACTTTCCCGAAGCAAGTAAAATTAAAAAAACCTCCACAACAGAACTGGTAGAGTGGGAGGCCAAAGCTGCCTCCATTAAAAACCATTTGCTTTCCGTGTGCGTAAGAACAGCGAAACCCCTTGTAAGTTGATCTTGGACTCGGCAACGCCAAGGCTTGTGTCGACACAGCCCATGTTTTTTTTTAAACTGGGCCAAGATAAAAAAAAACGCAATTAAAGATCACGCCTCAGAACGAGGTGCCATCTCAGCATGTGCCAATCCAACCACAAACAAATTTCACGAGACATTCAAGTTGGATCACAGACGTGCCGTGCCGCCTTCGTAGTTAGAA